AGAAGCACGCTACGATAACTGTACGAGAATGTATGTGACACTAAGCTAGTCTAAGACATTATTAGCGGATTCTTGCTTACTTCTAACTATATACAAAATTGATTCACATAAGATCATTTCCAATAAGCGCCCTTTTTTGTCAGAAAGGACGCTCAAAAGCCATGTCTACAAAATTTAAAAATGCCCCGTGTATGATCTAGTAATCACATTTGCTAAACGTTTTCCCAGCAGAGTCATTTTTTGTTTTGGGGAACATGAAGTTGTTAATGTTTTGACAGTCTATGCCAATAAATAGGAAGATTATGTATAAGGAAATTTTACAGTTTCGGCGACGGTAACTTTTTGGTGGTATCGTTACACTATTGCTTCCTAATGATAAGTTGAAATTGGCATTATGACAGGGCTGGAGTATTTGCCGTCATTTTGATAAACGTGTTTAATTGAAAATATCGAAGACAATCGATCCTATTTAAAAAGGTAATATAGAAACGATTTTTGGGGGTAATTAAATTGTCCATCATTTTGCTTTTATAAAAACTTGTCGTATAGGTCAACAGGATACAAGAAAATTAAGGGTAAAGGTACATGTAATGATATATATATAATGGCTAAACTAACAAGTGTTTCAAAGATTCTTATTCTTATATGTAGAAAATGAAACGATTCTGCAAGTGTACGCACGTTGCGCACGTGTCAGTATGCATCTAATATTTTCGGATATTTCATGATGTAAATGCAAGTCGCTCACGTCCACCAGTCTGCTTATTGGCCATTTTGTCACTGGGTACAATCAGCAACCGTTGCAACGATTTTAATGGAAAGGGAGTGATGCAATAAACTAGTATTATCTACTACATCTCGTCTTCCATTAGAATCGGTGAAATTATTTATAATTAATTTGGTAAAAAAAAAGATCTTTTACGTTTTTTCGACATTTTATTGATTCTTAAAGTATCCAAAATTCGTATCAAGCAGTCGCCTGACATAGTGCAACATATGTACGTGGTCCTCTTAATCGGCATACGGCATTATTTCACGTGAAAATAACTGCATAATCATTACCCATCACCAAGAGTACTACCACTTAAAAGCATGGAAAATTAATATTTTTTGATAATTTGTGATTTTTTTTTCATTATGAGGATCAAGTCACTCACTCCCATCAGTCTGCCGATTGGCGATTTTGTCACTGAGTAATTTCACCGATTCTAATGGAAGACGAGATGTAGTAGATAATACTAGTTTATTGCATCACTCCCTTTCCTTTAAAATCGCTGCAACAGTTGCTAATTGTGTCCAGTGACAAAATGGCCAATAAACAGACTGGTGGAAGTGAGCGACTTGCATCATTAAATATCCGAAAATATTAGATGTACACTGACACGTGCGCAACGCGCGTACACTTGCAGAATCATTTTATTTTCTACATAAAAGAATAAGAATCTCTTAAACACTTGTTAGTTTAGCCATTTTAAGCGAAAATCTCATTACATTTAACTTTACCCTTAATTTTCTTCTAACATGTTTACTGTTTTATAAAAGAAAAGTGATGAATTCAATTCCCTACAAACGCGTTTTTTTAAATGTCAGAAAATGCTCCAGCGCTATCATGACGCCAATTTGAACTTATCATTATTGTCATCAAATTGTATGGAAAAAACTACATATATTTCCTGGCCTACACCTCACTTTCTAAAACCCACAATTAATAATTTGGCATCCATACATTTATGTCAGAAAAAACATTACATCATTGCACCATGCAAAGTATTTTATAACCACAATATGATTTTTATTTGTTTGTTGCAGATTTATTTAGCATTAATGCTACAATACCAATTTTGTGTAATTATCCGTTTACACACTTTTTTTAACCCATTTTCTGTAATTTTACATTCTAGTCTATTAAAATTACATATATTTTGAGTATTCATAACTTGATTCTTTAATTTCACCTTAAAAATTTTTAAATTCGAAGAAGTTTAATATCGTTAATCAATTTATTTGATTCAAATACTGCCTTTTGAAATACAGATTTGCTAGTTATGCAACTATTACAGTTTTCCAGATATAAACCTATACTGCCTCTGTTTTCATAGTTATGATAACTATTTAATTTTGTGAAGTTTTTTAAGTGTAGTAGTAATAAATGGTTGTTCAATTTGAATATTAAAATGAGAACTAAATAGCATATGAAATGTTTTACATTCAACCACTGTAGTTCTTCTAACATAGACTAAATCCTAGCATACTCGTTTTTATTTAAAATGATTCCCATAGCTTTATGTAGTAGAATTTGTAATTTTGAAAATATGTTTTCACTTGCTGTGAACAAAATAGTTGAACAATATAAAATATGTGGAAGAATTATGGTGTTATACACATTTTTTTGAATACATGCTAAGATTATGGGAAACTCTATAGAAGTAATTTATCTTTTTTGATATTTTTGAAATAATGTATACATATTGCTCGTGAAACAGCAGTTTACTATCCACATATATACCCAGATATTTAAATGATCGATTTTATTGATGGTAAGGATAATGTGAGCTTATCATATATTAGGAAGTCTTATGAGAAATTCTATAGAATAAATAAAATGTATTCTATTAATGCTGTTGTTTTCTTATTTTTAAGCTGTAGTTTTGTGTGAACTATTTTATAGTTTTCTCCATAATTCCTTTTATCCTGCCAGCTGCTTGATCAATCTTTTCACATACATGATACATTTTAATAACCCCCTGTTTCATGGAATTTCTTTACGCCGAACTATCCACACAGGCACGGCGGCTACTATGAGAATGACAAAAACATTTTGCTAATCCGATTTTTGAACTGCCTAAGGTTAGTACAACTGGGAAAAGCTTCTTCTTGTAGATTGTTCCACAATATCGACACCATCGAGACCAAGGAGCAGTCGTATCAGTACTGAGGTATTCCGTAACGCGTTTACAATCACTTGGACGGACAGAAGTTATACCTATACTGAATTCAACAACTTCCGGTACAACCATTTGCAACGGCCTCGCTCAGTAGGGGAGTATTGGAGGGTGTTAATTTCAAATCACCAGTCAACAGAGAAGATCCACTTGTCAAATATATTAATTAAAATGCTGGTTAAATTCGGCATATTTTTAGCAGGAGCTCCCTCACACTTCCCAGATATGTTATTGATGTTCTTGAAATGTTAGATGCACATTATGGGAATGAAAAATGATTCAAAAAGTATTTATTTTATTTAAAAAAAAAATTAAAAGTAAAAAGCATACATATTACATTATTTAATTTAGAAAGATTTCGATTGCTGCCGGCGAAGCGGAACTCCAATGAGCCACCTGAAATGCGGACCTACTAGAAATCAGCCAACAGATCTGCTTCATACGTAATTGACTACGTGTTTACAAAATAATTATACAACTTGTCAACCTTCATGAATACGCGACCTGATAGATGATAAATTCTCGCGCTCTCTTGAAAATTGTCAGTGATTTTAAAGGCTAGCTTTATCAATCGAAAAGTATGTTTAAAGAAATCACAAGCACTCTGCAAGTAGTAATTTTGCCACGGGGGAAACATTCCATAGGATGCATTTTCCACAAAACAAACAATTTTCAGATCAAAATTCGAAGGTCGACGCAGTTGGTATCTCGGCCCGTATCGTCACATCGTCAGTCGTCCCTACAATTATGGCCTCCTTGATTGTACTCCTTTCTCTTCTTCAAAAATTTCTAGATTACACTTGTCCCGTGTCAGCGTCAGCGCTCTCCTATTGTGAACATATGTTTTCTTTTTAAATTGTAGGAAATTTCAGGCTGATAAAACATGATACAACTCAGAAGCAAGCACAATTTGATGCAAATAGATGTTTGTGACATAACCTCAAAATAGAGCGCTGACACGGAGAAGTAGAAAACTATAACAATCAAGGAGGCCATAAAGACGCCCTACCATTGTAGGGACGACTGACGATACGGGCCTAAAGCCGGCTCTCAACCCACCTGTATTGGTATTTTCTTACCTTCATTTTCCTGTAGACGTTCCCGAAGGCATCAAAGCAGTAGTTTAATTAATAATGCATTTTAGATTTAAAAGTTAATGAGATTCTTTAAATGTAATGACTAAACATTTATTAAGTTAGCTTCAAGAGCTGTCTAATTACAGATATTGGAATAAAAAGACCAGGTGTAAATATTTATAAACATGAGTATGCACATATATTTTTATAATCTAAAATGTATGTAACTCTTTATAACTACAAATGGAGCTCCTGATTTTTTTGACCTCTCTTTGGCTCTGATTAACCATCTCTTAATGATGCTAATGCTTCCATACTCCAACATGAAGGAATACGGTCGGCGTCTAAAAACAGAGTTATTGGTAAACAATTCACACACATTTAGGGTTGCCAGGTTTAAATTTGAAAATTGCAGAATGTCGATTTCCAAGGGGAGGATCAGAATATGAAGGACATTTTTCATTAGACTAATGCACAATTCATATGGAAAAGGAGTTATTTTTTGACAATGCATACAGCCGAAGATCAGAGATTTTTTTATCAGACAACAGTTTCCGACCAATGTTTATTTTCCATACATTTTTTTTGCACCCTTAGTTTTAATGTGAAGCTCTGCTTTGATATGGTCGATCAAGATGAAAATTTCAGCTGTCACATCAGAAGTTGCAACCTGAAGGAATAATAGTTTTTTCATCTAGCCGAACCGAATTAAGAACGTTAAGAGCAATTTGTAATTTCAATATTTTTTTATGAAAGTGAAGCTACTATGAAGTCCTACGCCTAAATTCCTGCCTCAAATTCAGAACTCCCAATACAATACAGGTTACCTGGTAACCCTACGTACAATATAGGCAGTAGGCAGATAGGGAGAAAATATAGGATCATAAAATTGTTTTTACGAAAAATCCAGTTCTCTAGCTATAACAGTTGCGGAGGTGCAGGTTGCCAAGTTGAGTGTTTTTTTTTTTGATAGATGGCCTGATATTTCAACAAAAAAAAAATGTAGGTCTTTTAGTTTAAAAAAATGTATGTTTGGGCCTCCACGTAACTATGACTCACCCTGTAGGAATAAACATATTTTCAAAATAAAGAGCGTACTGTTGAATACAATTTTTGTGACTAACTTGTATAATCACCCGGCCATCGTTGTAGCGAGTGGAAATTTGATCAGTGCAAGGTTTTGATTTTTTTTAATGATCATCAAAGGGTTACTTACTGGATCTTTCTGCGACTCTCGTTCCAGAATCAGGTATTGCAACCTTCGCTGTTTCGCCAGTTTTCTCTAATTGTGCTAATCGATCTGCAGGAGTTCTTTTCGGGTACGATACCGTTCTTAGCCTGAAAGTAATGTTTGTTTAAAGGACTGCGATGAAGTTTAAGATTGTCTTATAGGGCCTTCAGCCTTCAAAGAAACAACATCCAAAGAAACATCAATCTATAAACGGGACTTGAGAATTAAATTTTGAATAATTAAAACTATTTTTATATTACTTATCTAATTGTATGTATTACTTTCAGCTGAGTTCCTTTTCAGCAGAAAACTCCATTTTATTTTTATTAAAAACTATCGGTTGTCTATAGTTCAGAAATTTGAGGTAAGTATTGAAAGATGTTCAAAAATAGTTAATTGACTTTCTCAAAAATATTGTACTAAAAGTAAACGTTTTTACAAACCTCTGAGTTTATCTGTATGTATATGTACTTTATTTTATTGGATGGTGAAAGAATATGCGAATAAAATTTTTTTCTCTACAAAGTTATAACAGTATTACACGAACCTGCTTTCTGGCTATATTCCTAGGCGGCTTAACAACGCTGTCAATATAAGCAAGCTTTGTAGTTCTAACTGGTACTAATCTTTCTTGAGCTTGTCTTATGTTAGCAGTAGTCGCCTTCAACCTAGCAGCTCTCTCTTCGAAGCACCTAAAATCACAAACATCCATTTTTAGTTACTGAATTGCAAATTTCGGATAATTTAACTTCAAGTATATCACTGCCAATGAACCTGACCATAACCTCCAAGGCCATTTTAAGATCAGTTAGGCTTCAAAGTAAACTTATTAACTTACTTCATAACTTTGGATATTACCTTTTTTGTCTCCGAAACTAATCTCCTTCACGTTAATGCAAAACAAATGACATATACTTCACACCACTTCCACGCGAACGGAGCCGCGGGTTTAGACCAACATGATCTAAATGACAAATTCTCAACACATTTCAAAAAATGTATTAAAGAGCTGTAGTATGATCTACATTTTAATTTAGCTTAATACTATTATTTTCATCAGAAAATAGCGCCACTGGCTGCGGCTACTCAAGTGATCACTTATTTACGGACGAAGAGTTAAAAGTCAGAGAGTCATCAAGTAACCATCAAATTTGAAGTTATATTTCTATGTAAACTATTTATTGAAATGAAACTCACCTCATGTACATTTCTCTCCAAGATTCCAGCTCTTCCCTTTTCTTAGTACGAAATTCCTTCTCGCAATACAACTGCCACAATTCATCAGTTTCCTCGATTAAGTATGGATTATGATACTCCACATTTAGCAATTGATCGGGAGTTGCTTTTTCCAACACCGGTTTCAGAAATAAGTAAGCAACACCTCCAGTGTACCCTAATGCTGCAAGACAACGTTTTTATGTGAGAAATAACGATCTTATGCCACAGAATATTGGGGATGCCATTAAGGCATCACGTCAGGCCACACGGCTGGACTAAACAAAGTATTTTCTTACTAAGAATATGTATTGCAAATACATACCATCAATATTATCTTGTAATATCGTCGCACAGAGACCGGATAGAGTATCCACTTTCCCAGACATTTTATTTCCAGAATATACTTTGGTCCTAAAAAAATATACTTCAAAAATACTATCTATATTTTCAAAACATTTACATATGTGTTTGGGGATTCCCTTAACACAGTGCACAGTTCTGATGAAAAAGAGCAACCTTTCTTGTATTCCATAATATTAAGCTGGGATTCGCAGGGTAATGAAGTTAGGAAATTTCAATCTGATAAGTATATTTTGATACCAAACTAAATCGGATAATCCCACGCATGTGTCGCTAAAAGCTAATCAGCTAGGGAACAGCTAAAAGGTTTTGAGAACAACTTTCTAAAGTTCAATAAGTCACCCGCGAAAGGTATCATTTATAGCTTTGTGATAACAAAAATGATTCGCAAAACCTGTAAGAAACCCAATACAGCATGAAGTATACCTATATACTCGGGTAATGAAATGGAAAGAAGCAGCAAAATACTCGTACATCGCAACATCTCTGCGGTGCTTGAAATTTTTTTACCAATGAACGGTAATTTTGGCGTAGAATGGAAAGTCCCATCTTTGAGAGCACTCTGTACGATTTTATAGATTATTTATGCAAGAAAAAGATGAATCTTACCTATAATTTTTGTTTGTCATCACCCTAGTAAGTGCCTCATCATCAGTCATTCTTTCGGAACGTTTTTGTTGGCTGATCAGTTGTGAACCAAAAGGCCTGCAGTTTCCTGTTATCCCTGGTAGTAGAATAGACATGTTATTCAAGGGTTCCAGCTGCGGCTGTTTTGGAATATGTAATGACGTAAACATTTTAAAAAAGTTCAATCACACATACACATATGTATGTCTGAAAATTCACCGTTTTGAGGATATGGAAGTGTTCAAAACTTGTCCGACATTGAGATAGTTTGCACACCACTTATAATGGAAAGTAAACATTTCCGGACCTATATCTATATGAATGTTTTTCCATATTTTAATTGCTGTTTCTGCTCTCCATTTTTCCTGGAAACATTTAGTAACATTCTGAATATATGTTGAGAACTTACCATTACTTCTTCGACAGTCTCATTGAAATCGCTCTTCAAGGGCAATGGTTCTCTTTCCTCGCTACTCTCCCGTTTAGTCGGTCTCGAAGAGCCGCCTTGTTCCTTCGTATTCCCAGATTTTTCGAGGCTCCTCTTCTTGTTACTAAAAGCACCTTTCATATGCATCGGGGGCCCACACAGCCCTAGTGCCTCTTTAAAGCTGATACCGGATCCCGAATCAATACCATTTACGATTTTATTCAAGTCAGATGCCTTCGGAATTTTCATTTTGCTGGAAAATAATAGATAATGTGAATAAAAATGACATTTTCTTAAATAAAATCACCATGACATTTCTGTGACCTCAAGTCATAACGTGGGTAATGCAGCATTACCGCGTAACGTAAAAGTCACAAAACTACTTTGAACTGTTTCAACGAAGTGACAGAAGCAAAAATTTCTACCAAAAAAAATGCTAGAATTATGTGAAGCATGTCTTTGCCTAAAACAATGATCATAATTTTTATACCTATAAACAATTATTATTTGAGGGTGTCCAGAAAGTAGGCGAAGGATAAAATATCTCGAGAAATATGTTTCTTAAAGGAAAATATTTTGTAACAAAGTTGTAAGTTTTGAATCTAGTGGTGACCTTCAAGCTCATTTGAAGTTAAACACATTTTTCGTAAATGAAAACCCCTATTAATGACACTGAAAATAAAAAGAGCAACAAACTTAATGCTCAAATCTGACCATAACCTTGACTATCACCGTCAAGGTTATTTGAAGATATAATGAATTTTTAATTGAAAACACAAAATATCTCGAAACATACGTTTCGTAAAGTAATACGTTGTGTAATAAAATTGTAAGGTTGGAAAAGATTTATCTAATGGTGACTTAGACAGTTTTCTTAAATTGAAGCCACTTTCTTTAGCACCGAAATATATTAGCTGTAGCAAATAAATTTAACAATAATAAGTACTACTCACCTTGAATCTTTATCAGTCCTTGGCTCAGATTTTGATTTCACTTGCGAGCTAGAACTGCTTTTCTTGTCATCTTTGTTTTTATTAGCATCGTTATCCTTACTGCTTGATGATGAATGTGACTTTGTGTTTAAACTTTCCTTCTCACTCTTGGACTTTGACGTTCTCTTGTCTTCATCACAGTCTTTGTCTTTCGACCTGCAAAAAAGTAGATGTTTTCAAAATCAGACATTTAGAGCCCGAACAAATAATATGTTAGCTCATGACTAAGTAGCCCAAAAAGAATTGGAAGAATTTATCGACCAGATATCCTTGTTGTATCCAATTCGATACTAAGGGCCGTGCATTCTTTCTAAATTCTTTTGGGCTACTAATAGTATATAAATATAAATATCCGAGTCCAAAAAACAAAATGATATATGAGAGAAAGGACTTACTTTGAATCAGTAGATGCCACAGACTGTTTTCTTCCCAATTTTGTCATCTCCACTACCATCGCTAGAATGAGTTCTCCTCTTTTTCGAGTGCCTGTCATCAATCGAGTCTCTTCTTTTTCTAATGGATTTTTCCGACTTCTTTCCAGCTCTACTCTCGTCACAGCCATCATTAGAATGACTCCTTTTCCTCTTCGAGTTTTTATTATCATCAAAGTCCTTTCCTTCTCTACTCGATTTTTCTTTCGACTTGGAACCTTCACTGATCTTATGTTTTTCTTCCTTCTCTGTCGTTTCATCATCACTAGATCCACTAAAATGCCTTTTCTATTTTGGATGCTTCTCAACAGACTTACCTTTTCTTTAGCTGGACTTCTCTGTGGACTTGGAGCTGACTTCATCACTGCTTTTTGATTTTTTCTTGGACTCTTTTTCATCATTTGACCCTGAACGATGCCTTTTCTTTGAGTGTTTTTCATCTTCTGAATTTTTGTGATTGCCTGAGTTCTCATTTGATCTTGAAGTATGTTTTTCTTTCGCACTCGAACTAGTAGAATCATGTCGTTTCCTTTTTGAATGGACCTCCCGATCTGAGCTACGCCGCCTGTGATTTTTTGAATGTTTGCTTATCTTATGGTCACTTTATAGTAAAGATTCATTTGAAGTGTAGCCTTTTGTGTTTGATTCTGATTCTGAACTTGCAGTAAAATCCATTTTTTTGCGCTTTCGTTCATCGTCATGTCTACTAGATGTATGCTTAGACGTATCCTTCTCTTTGCTACTACTGCCTTTATGAGGAGATCCGCTTTTATATCTTTCACTACTTTTGCTCGATTTTGCTATGACTGCAGCTAATATGCTTTTCTGTATGCTTATCAGTTTTCTCGCCATTTGTTTTAGCATGATGACTAGATTTCTCCCCCTTACTGCAAACTCTGTAATAAATGTGTAATGTTGCATCAGAAGAATAACTACTTTTAATGGAATGAGACAAATGTTTACATTTAGGTAGGTGAAGAACGGAATAACAGATACTCAGTTTTCTTTAATTCCGTCTTATTTGTCATTTGCAATGTATGAAAGTTTCGCAATTGTCTAAGATTGAAGAAAGAAACTGAAATTTCCCAAAACCGTTTTTATTTTTTCCTGGAGTGATTTGAGATGCGATTTCAAAATAAAGAGTGCATTAAGACCTTGTCTCTTCTACATGATGGAGTAATTATGATTACAATTTGACATTTCGTCTCCTGCCTCCAATCATCTGGTTTTCTTATAGGCATTATATTGCATTTTTTAACAGGTGAAAAGTTGTTAATTGTGGTTTCAAAATACTGTAGTATATCATACAATGACTTGGTCAAATCTGAGTTATTTAAAAAACTGATATTCTCATATTTGACTTTGAAATTGAGTTTATCACGTTTCCTATTAATGACAAATGCTTTAATGTTTGAGGACATTTTGATTAATCTGCTGATTTATCGGATATAACAAGCGTTATTTTAGCACGAAGGAGAAGTTATATATGACACAACAGCTGTAGATTAATAGTATTTCAATGAAAGATGTACATCGGACGAAAGCATCATGTTTAAATATAAAATGTGTTTAGGGAGAGGCTTCAGCGTCGAGGGTTTTATTTACTCCTAAATGTTCCGCCAAATACACAAAATGAAACTGTCTTCAATGTTTTTAAATAACATAAAGAAGTTTTAACATTTCGATGAATTACGACTAACTACCCGAATTGAAAACACTATCCATCTTTGTAAAACTCCCATCAAGTCTGGTTTTATTATTGAAAGCTGTTCAAGGAGGTTTTCAAAACATGGACGCCTAAAATGGGTAGGTAGGTACACCAATTTTTGTGGTAAAACTTTTTATTTTGCAGCAAAGAATAAGAAAACGTGTTTTTTGGGACTCAATCGAAAGTGTTGACAGGAACGAAAAAGCTTTTCATAGCAGATTCTTAGGTATTTATGAGACCTACAAAATGAGACCACATGTGAAAAGATCCGACTAATAGCAAAAATGTTATGGCCGAAAAACGAGGCAAAATGCAGGTTTTGGCACTTGTTGGTAATGCGACGATAATTTCACGCAACTACTTGAATGCCTTCAAATCCGTAGAATTCATGCTGCTAAATAACAACAACAAAATTGGAGTATATTGATCAAGTAGCTTTTGTTTTTTAATTGTTTATCCCAAAATAACTGTTTTTCGGCCGTCACTACTAGTTTATTGAGCAATATACAGGGTTCGTTCAAAAAGCATTTAATAACAAAATACACGTGTTTACCTTGCCGATATGAATCACAAACTATTCCTAAAGATAAATGTTATTTTTCTGCCAAAAACAAAGTTACCTTTTTTTTTCTAAACAAATTCAAACACTTCGTATTTGTGACTAGCTGAACAAATGCGCTACGATATTCGAAGGACATACGTTATTATATACACATTTTAAAACAAAGCGGATGTGTCTATCATCTTTTGTTGCGAATTACAAATGCGAAATGTTTGTGGTCTCATTTTGTAGGTCGCATAGATACGTAAAAATCTGGTATGAAGAGTTTTTCGTTCCTGCCAACACTTTCGATCGAATCTCAAAAAACACGTGTTCTCGTTCTTTGTTGTCGAATAAAAAGTTTTACCACAAAAATTGGCGTACCCATTTTATGCGTCGATGTTTTGGATATCCCTTGAACAACTTGCAGCAATAAAACCAGGCTTTACAATTATATCGCAAAGCAGGGCTATTTTGTCTATGTTTAGACTATAGTTGATGATTGGGAACAAGAGACAAAACGCTATATTAAAATTCTAATTATACCATCTAGAGGAGAAAAATTGGCAATGTTAATATATACTCTCTATTTTAAAATAACATCTGAAATTATGTCAGTAAAAAATAAACACGATTTTGGGAAAGTTCAGTTTCTTTCGTCTACATCCGGGAATACTCGGAATACTGAAGGTTTCTACGTGCAATTTTCTTAGTTACTTGGTTGTGCTCCCTTTTAACCGACATCGAATATCTTACCGTTTCTGAGAATCCAATGGTAAGAATCGAATTTGAAACACTCGGTATGTACAGATTATATCATTTTTAAATATTCAACTTACTTTGATACACTCGTGTTGAACTTCCTGAAGACAGCACGAAGAACAATTGATTTATCCATGTTTCAATCACTTACTATCACTGATATCAGTGGGACCACCTAATGTATACTGAATTACTTCACTTGTAGATCTAATATTTTTAAATACCTGTACACCCTAATTAAAGGACAATTTGCAGACATAGTAAAATCCCTTCCTAACAGCGAATAAGAATAAGGACATAATCCTGCTTTTGGCCCGCCTTGTGTGCGGTCATTGGTGGTTAAAATTACTGCCTGTGATTATGCGAATAGCTCTACATCATGCAAATCCATTTTAGCCTTCTAGGGTTTTGATTTACCAGAAAACGATTTTGGGGAAAATTGTGTTTATTTCGTCTGTTTCCGGAAAAACTAGGAATTGCGAAATCTTCTACGTGCCATTTTCTTAGTTACTTAAATGCGCTCCCATTTAACCGACACCGTATCTCTTACCGTTTCCGAGATCCCAATGGTAAGAGTCGAATTTGATACACCCGGTATGTACAGATTATATTATTTTTAAATATGCAGCTTACTTTGATACGCTTTTAGGGAACTTCTTGAAGAACGCACAAACAACAGTTGATTTACCCATGTTGCAATCACTCACTCACCGTCAGCAGTACGACCACGTGATGCTGAACTGCTCGACTTTTGGTTTTTAAATTCGCCACACCCTAGTCGAAGGACAATTTGCAAAAATGGTCACATTCCTTTGTAAGGATCTGCTAGAAAACTATCCTGTAATTATTTAGATAAAGGGGAAGCAAATAGGATTAGGGACATCGCTAATCCTGGTTTTGCGTCCACTTTGTGTACGGTCATTAGAGATTAGGACTTATTACCTGGAATTGGGCGGTTCCCAAATTTTCGTAAATGTACCTCTACAGCTGTTTTAAATTACAAAAAGCTTCCATATCCAAGCCAACTTTATACCTGTAACCTTTTTTTGGAAACCTAGAGGAATCGGATTCAGTGATGTAGCCTTTTTTGCTACTATTCTTACCAAAAGCTACGTTAAACGCACTTATGATATGATACCTAAGAGCAATCAATAAAATAAAAAAATACATATTTGCAAACTAGTTTTTTCAGCTGTTAATAAGGTGAATTGAAAATTTAAAAATATTGTTTTCCGGTTGGAAGCTTCGTCATCTCATGGTTTCAAATGAAAGCGTGTTACATACACCGTTTTCTCATCCTACAAAACATAACACGCTTACCGCTGAGAAAAATTCCTGTGGGCGCCTAAGTAAGTTCTACATTATTTTCATATATTTCGTTGATAGGACTCCATAAAACCTCTTATTTTTTTTGTATTGTCAAATTTATATATATGTATATATATGAGTATATATATATATATATATTCGCATTGAAAACTATGCGGCTTTATTAACTTTCATTACGTACTAAATATTAGTGAAATATCTGAAGCGGTTCTGAAAATATTAATTATTCTCCATTTTTTTCCTAAATCTTCGACACCCCGAGTCTTTGTAAGGAAACATTTTTGGACCATAGTTTATAAAGCAAGCTAACATTAATTTTTCAAGTAGGTTCACACACACACATATATATATATATATATATATATATACAGGGTGGCCCA